CCTTGAAAACCGCAAAGACTCATCCAAGCAGTCACTGCAGGGTCAGCAATGACTGAGCGCAGACAAAAAAAAAAAAAATTATTAACTCCGATATTTTATTAAGTAGCAACTTAACTGTGAGTGAATTGGAACCAGATGGAGTTATAATTAGAATAGACCCATCTAAATTATTTAGATTTGAATCATCTCTGATTCAAATCCATTGAATTTCCATGGGTCTTTCTGAGAGTAGGTGACTGTTGGTCAAACTTAATACAGATCACCTTTTATTTTTATTTCAGGAAGGTAAAGTTGTTGCTACCAAGATATATTAACAGGTTAATTTTCAGCAAAGATTTTCAGGTGGGCTTATATCTTCTTTTAAAGCAAGAATTATGTGTATGTTAAAAAAAAAAAAAAAAGTCTTACATAATCTTCCAAATATAGTATACTATAATTCAATTTTCATGAATGCCTTCAGGCTTTCCCTGAAACTTTTTTGGGGTGCTTTTTTCCAAAAATGTGGAAGCTATTCCTTAATTATGCTTGGTAACTAATCCAGAATCTCTAGGTAACAATTTACAAACTTTTCTTTAAAACTCTTTTGAAAAGCTTTTGAAAATTTTACTTTTTGGATGCCGTCTTAAGTATCTGTAATAAAGAGAATCCCATAGTGTTCTTTGTGGTATTTAACTCTCAATAATCTCCCATTCATTAAGAAAGACTGTTGTTGTTTGTAATATTAACTTGACAAAGGAAAACTTTCTGGGACTTAGGAAGGCAGAGAAAAAGAAAAGTAAAATAAAGGAGCTGCTTTTAAAGTCTGTAAAGTAGGAAGCAAAAATAAGTGAAATTCATATTTTAGCAGAGAGGCAGATTTCTGTAGCATACATCAGCAGAGAGATGCCAAAACCTTAAGACACTACACTCATTGACACCATCTGTTTACTACTTAAAGGAAAATTTAATGTTTTCATATGCTTTATAGACCTATGTTCATTTCAGATACACTCCTGGAACAAAATGATGAATGGCACATCCTGCCCTGAGATGGTCATAACGTAGCTTGTGATGCAAGAATTTTATAGGGTGCCCATTATCCCAGAAGGAGAGAGAGAATATTCCTCTGCATATTTGATGAGAAATATCAGAAATTTAAGTTTCTTTCATTTTATATTGCACGTATAATAGAAGAGATATACCCATGTAATGTAATTTGTATCCAAATAAGCTTCTGGAACTAGGTTATAACACAGAATGATAAAATATTAGCTATGTAAGATTATTTGACTATTGGATTAAGGTAAGTAAAAAAACAAAAATGAAGTATCTACTCAAATTGTTCACTGTATTTGCCTCCAAAAGTCTGAAACATTTGTTTGGTACAGCTTCATTAGACTGAAGTGACATTCAATCTAGTGGTGTCTTCATTCATCTTTGAGTTCATTCAGTTTCTTCAGCAGCAGTGGGCAGGTTCACATGAGATCTACCTATAAGAATTAGGCAAGATTTACACATTAAGAGGCCTTGTTATGGATGACTTGTTAGGAATAGGCTTCACATCAGTCATGAAACTCATTGTGTGATACTGTACAAGTTACTTTCCAGCCTAATCAACTTCATAGGGTTGATGCAAGGATAAATAAGGAATAGAACATATGCAGTGAAAGCATTCACTAGGTTTGTATGTTTCCCAGTCAAAACACATCTGAAATGGTGGCTAGTTGTAACACTAAAGACTGTGGGTTGCAATGGATAGGATTTTCATCTCCATTAGAGGATGTCAGTAATGTCAGCCATCATAGAACTTTTAATTTATAAACTTTAAGGTATTGCCTGTTACTTTAACTAAAGTGAAGAGTATTGACAACTTTCAAGTAACAGCCCCCTTCTCTCTTTTCCTTTAATTGGAATTTATTGTTATGAGAGATGCAGCCTCTGCATAACAAAGATATTAAAACACTGGTTCTAAAACATGTTGAAAACACTATATAATTGTTCACTGCACATGTTACTAAAACTTCCAGTGCCATTAGCATTCGTCATTTGCCACTGCCAGATGGTACTCTGACAGAGTAGGAAGCAATCACTGAATAATGCAAAGAGAATAAAAATTGATGAATAATATATCAGAGAATTTCTCACCCTTGTTAGTGGTGGTGGCCAGTCAAAGGCAGGATCTGATATCCCTCAATGGGACCTTTGCTTGTTTTGGGTGGAGTTTCTTGCTGCCACAATTACTGAGATTTTTTATTTATTTATATTTCACATTTGTCACCACCCATCTCACTGGAAACAACTCTGGGTGATTTGCTCTGCTATGTTGATAATTTCTGGCTTCTTTTCAATCTTTTCTCCTTATAAGCTAAAACAGCTTTTTGATAATCTAAATGACAAAAGAGAGCCACCTGTTCAATTTTTAAGTCAGATACTACCTTGGTTATACTTGCTCCTCTTGTATTGATAGGAGCATTAATGATGGATGGATTGATTAATTGACTGGTTGCATTAATTGCATCTTTAAATTCATTTCAGCTGGTTTAGCCAAAAAGAAGTACATACTTTCATTTGCATCTCCCTCCCTCCCTCCCTCCATATTGTAACCATTTTTTGATAATATAATACATTTTGGCATGTAGTACCTTCCATGACATATAAACATACAGTGGTACCTCGGGTTATGAACACCTCTGTTGACAAACCTTTCGGGTTACGATCAGCTCTGGCCGCAAAAATTTACCTCAGTTTGCGAACTCCACCTCGGGGTACGAACAGGATACGCGGCCATTTTCCCTCCTGTGACCCGGTCCGCGGCCATTTTCCCGCCCCTGACACGTGGTCTGCAGCCATTTTCCGCCCCTGACACGTGGTCTGCA